AGTCTTTGGGAAATCCAATTCGATTGTAACCACTGAGATGATTTGAAGATGAGATTCTTCCCCTAGGAAAGCTGAGCCATTGCTTATTCACTCTTACATTATAGCCATCCCTTTGGATTCTTGTTTTAAAGTATGGGGAGTTGATCAGCTCCCTCCCCACCTGGGCATATCTTAGACTTCCAGTTACTTTCCCACCCTTGTAAGAATAGCAACAATTCTGCCTACCTTATCTCTGTGGGCTTCTGAATTGGCAGAGGCCCCTCAGGAAAAAAATTAAACTGCCTCAAATATGAGCTTCATGTTTTTAGAATTATTCTCAGTTCTTAGTTCCACACTTCTTCACTTCTAAGTTAGTTTTCTGAAGTCTTAAAGCACATAAACTTTCTCTTTCCCTCTTATGTTTCCCTGATTTTATAATAGTTGCTAATTAGAATATTGGATTGAATTTCCTTTTCTGCAATTACCGAAACTCACAGTCCCATATTTAGTTAAATGCATAGTAAATGTTCACCCTTAGGACATAGATTTATATAACATTTTGGTATTTTCAGGGTTTATGTTAATGAAAAGTTGCATAAACTTAACAAGTAAATAACTTAATTAAACAGAATAATAGGTAATAATAACTGCATTTAATATTTCTTGTACACTTACTTGTGCCAAGCACTGTTATAAGTTCTTTACAAAGAAGTGAATTCTTTATTATTCTTACCCAACGTCAATTACACTGTTAATACACTCATTATACTGATGAAAACTGTAGCCGAGAGAAGTAGACCTAGCATTTGTGTTCATCACTTTGGTTCCTAAGGTGTCACATATTATGATATACTCCCAATTTCTGAAACCTATTGACATAAATACAATTTACAGACACATATGATGCACACGTATACACATGTACATATACATAGTACACACATTATTGTAGTTAAACTGTGCTTCAGAGGAAGACTGGCTAGCATTATACAAGTGTCCCTGGATAAGAATGAAATAAGTTCCTCTAAATGATTCATTGGCAGGAAGGGTTAGCTAAACTAATAGTCACCAAATCCTAACTCTTTTCCCTTAAGTGGCACCTTCTTAAGGTTTAGTCACATGAAATACTGCTCTCATCACCCTCTCTTGGCCCCTGGGCTATACTATCCTCAAAAATATCTGGGCATGGTGGTCTCCACCTGTAGTCCTAGCTACTTTGGAGGCTGAAGTGAATGGATCACTTGAGCCTAGGAGTTTGAGCTTACAGTGAGCTGTGATTTTGTCACTGCACTCCATCCTAGGCAGCAGAGCAAGACTCTAACTTAAAAAAATACTGCAAGACCTATTTATGAAAAATGTTATTTTTCTTTGTTTCCCATCAGAAGAAAGCTGGCATTTTCAAAAGAATCATACTAAATATATAAAGAGAACAAAGAGGAATGAGTAATGTAGAAGAGGCTTTAAAAACCACTGGGCTTAGAAAAAACAGGTTTCTGTTCCTGTAACATTTAAGTAACTTACCAGGCCAAAAGCCTCGTTCTATTCCCCAGGAATGTCACACTTCAGCCTCAAATGGCTAGAGCCACTTTGCAGGCAATTTACCTGGCTTCGGGCCCTTCTCCCTCCCTGGTTTTCTCCATAGGGGAGAGCCATCTTATCTGCAGGGAGCTGGTCAATTGCCCAACTTGTTCTTTCCATAATAACTGCAAAAAGAAAACATTCCAAGCCTGCTGCTGACCTAGGATGCTCCTACTCAGTTCTAGTTTCACTGTGATTGGCAGGCCTACAGCCTTCATAAAGGGAGTCACATACATACAGTAATAAGAGGATTATTCTTTACTCTTTTATAAGTGAGAGGTTGGGGGTGAGCTATATGAGGCAGTCAGCTCTGAATCTATATCACAGCTTCACAGCTACAGGAGAGTGACATTTTCCAATTCAGTAGCAATAACTAGGACCCAGAGAACTGCTATAACTAAATTAATTTCATGAGAGACTAATTTATAAGCCTTAATGGCAATTGTATAATTTTAGCAGAGAAAAATAACTATGGGGTCAACATGACCTTGCTGCCACACTATTCTCATCAGCAACACATTCAAAAACGATCATAAAAATGACACATTTTTAACCATGTCCTTGCATTTTCAGTATATACAGTTTCTTGTGACTTTTGTGCCCTGACAAAAATCAATGTGCTCTTAATATTCTAAGACATACATTACTTAGAATTAATAATTATAACACATGATCAGATTTAAAGTATTTCTATATTCTTTCTAGGTAATTAAAAACATTATGAGGTTTCCAATTGTTTTTTTAGGAAAAAAAGAAAAACAAACCTATTTTTTAATCAATTAGCAGTATCATAGGAAGTCTGCTGATTTCACTATCACAAATCCATTCCAAGCTGCTGGCTGGTATGAAAGAAAAGAAAATTTGTCAATTATCCAACTAATTATCTGAGTATATGACAGCCAAACCAAATAATCCCTGTCTCCAGTGAACGTTCTCAACTGAATTGTCTAGATAGCTACCATGCAAATTCAATGAAATTTTGGGGGATATAAACATTTCTCTATTTCTTTCATTAATCCATTAATGAATATGCCTGCAAATTGTTCATCTCAGTCTTCTAGAATAATGACTACAATAAAAAAAAATGAGAGCTAGCATTTATTGACCACTTAATATGAACCAGGCAGTGTGATAAGTGCTTTCTATGCATTCTCATTTAATTTTACAACAAGCCTGTGAAGGCACTGGCATGAATACCTGGTACAAAATGAAGCCTGCAGTTCCCAAATATCTCTTTAACTTTATCTGTGTAAACAGCTTAGCACATATATTACTCAAATAAAGTTTCTGATGTGTAACCTGTGACCTCTTTTTGATTTAGTGTTTTCCCTTCTCTCAATAGCAAATGGATTTCCTTTTAGTCATCTTTTTGGCATTTTTCTAATTCTAACCCTTTCTTTCCTCTGAGAGCTGTCTTGAGTACAATGCCTATCCCTATGTTGAATGATGCTAAGAAGTCATGAATTTATATGAGACATTCAGATTGTTACATAAAATTTCATTCCTTTCTATTTCAAAGAATTGTGATTTCTATTAGCATCTAAAAAAGGAAATGACAAATTATGTACAATAATATCTAGTTTTGATAGATTCTGCATACCTAGATAAAGGTATGCAGTGCATGGTATGCAAATGGATAGATGTTTAAGTAGTATTAAGTGTTGGCTCGAAATAAATCACTGAGGAATACATTTCCCTACAAGTTAAAAGACACCTAGGTACAGAGAATCCCAATTTATTGAAATTAATGAGTAACAGAGGACCTTTAAATGACCAAGCAAGTTGTTAATAGAACACTTCTAAAAATGATGTAGTGAGAGTTGCATGCCTAGTTTAGCCTCTTGGAACGTGGTTATCTTTAAGGTGTTCTTTTAGTTTAATGGAAAGTTATGAAATATTAAAATATAAACAGAGTTTGCAGTAAGACAACCCTGGATTCAAGTCATAATGATTATTGGCTTTGAGACCTTGAAAAAAGTGTTTACTCTCTCTAGGTACAAAATTAAGATAATAATGTCCATCTTCTCCTTGCCATTCTTAATTAGTTACAGAGAAGCCAGTTTGCTTCATGGGAAATATTTTTTTTCTTCTTCCTTAGTCACTGCATTGCTAGCAATTATCTGTTAGCCACGTTCTTTCTTTGCCCTGGGCAGTCACTTGAATACCAAAAATTGTGAATGTTACTATACCATATCCCAACGTTTACATCATATTCTCTTGTTAATTTGTGACTATAGAGTATATTAAAGTTGTTTGAGTTGAGAAGGGATGGAGAAGTTTATAGCATTTTTCATTCTCAAGAAACACATTCCAGAACATTGAGAAATCAAGTTTGTTGAGGAATGAAAGAGTGAAGAGTTTGAAGACTTCCACTCTTCAAAGCCAAGACTGTGGCCCTGTACTCCAGTCTGGGCGACAGAGCAAGACTCAAAAACAAACAAACAACAAAAAAATATTTTCAAAAACTTCCCTCTACATTTGATGATTGTTTTACCAAGAAGATGTATTGATTTAAAAACATTTTTAAATAAATGTAATAAAATAAATGCACACTGTGGAAATTTTAAAACATATAGAAGAATTTACCAAAAAAAATCCAAAAATCAATTTGTAAATCCATTAAACAAAGATTACTATTGGTAATGTTTGGGTGCATTTTCTAATAGGTAAACATAAAAATATATTTTGGCTTTACAAGCTTATGATTGCCCTGCATATAGTATTTTTCAACATCAAAATTACATCAAATTATCATTCTCCTTTTATTATCTTCTGGTCTGCATTTTAATGGCAACTTGATCACATATTGGCATCAATGATTATTGTCTTAAAATTATACAAAATGTTCTTCTATATATACCATAAACGTACTGAATTATCGACAAACTATGATGGTGGTTAGGTTTTCTATCCATGTGGAAAGTTTTTTTTTCTTTAAATAGGTATAATTAATAAACAACAACACACACACATGCATACTGTTGAGATACAACCTAGGCACAAAGATTTTCATAATGACTTTAGCTGAAATGAATTAATTTACATAGTTTGTGAATAGCTGTACTGTTCTTTCAATGTATTGGATGATTAGGTGAGTAAAATTCATATATTGTGGTGACACAGGAAAGTTATGCATCTCATTGACAGACAATATACTTCCCACAGAGGAGGGGATCATATTTTTATACCAAACCATCAAAGTCCTTTTTGAGCACTATGACACATACAAACATCACACATGTTAGACTATACTATATTGTTTTTATTCCTCATGCATAAGCCCTATCCCTTACCCACAATATTATGAGTTATATAATTTGTACTTCTTGTACACAATGTCTATCTTAGTCTGAGATGCAGATGATGTAATTAAAAAACACAGGTGGCCTCAACATGAGAGTTTTTCAATAAACAAGGAGTGATGGTTTCACAGCTGAGCTGACAAATGCCTAGATCTTTTACCCATTCCATTATTTTCTCAAGTATTTAAGCGGCTTGAGTGTTTGGCTTTTAAAAAATGCAAAAATGGAGTAAAACTCTTCAGATATTAGAAGCATTCTGTTTCACAGTCAATAAAAAGGTCAGGAGGGCTTTTGTACTAAACAAGTCTCATCAGGGTAGTTCATTAAAACAATTAGACAAAATGCGTTCTCCAGTTTCAGCTATCTATTCATTTTAAGGAACTTTCTGTCTTGCTTAATCAAATTTAACATGGGAGACTTTTCCTGGCTACATAATCAACATGTAAATTAAAATGCACAGAGATCTCCAAAGAACAAAAAAGTTAATTATTTAATCGTTTTTTACTCTATGTATTGGGTTGGGAATTTTTAATTAAAAAGAGTAAATGAATCTTTAACATATGTTTATTTCTTTTGTATAAAAATGTGACTATAATTAATAGTAAAATGACAACATGGAATGTTGAATTTATTGCCCAGTTACAATAATGAGGCTCTATATTAATCAAAGGTTGTCATTTTAATTGGAAAACCTCATTGGTAATGATAAATAGAATTCATAATAGTTTTTTTAATCCTTAATGATAAATATCTATGCTACTTCCTTTAAGAATATGAAATAATGTGTGTTTTCATAAAATATGATAGTTCTAAGTGATATTTTCTTTTTATTTAAAGAACGCATGCATTTAGCAAGTAGTTTACCTTTCTGAAAACTGAAAATATTGCTGAGGATTAAAGAGACAAACAAAGAATTCATGTGACATTTTATTAAGAAAGTTTAGGAACAGTCCATTTGGAGTTTAATGTGCCATCCATTGAAGTTTATGATGGAGTGAGCAAAAGGCATTACTATTGATTCTAGGTCTGTGCACTTTCTATCTACACAGGATTATTGTAAATGAATAAACTCATTTCTAGCCTGATTTTTCCAACATTCCAATACCTTTTGTATATTCTGAAAAATGTTAAAATGTTGAGTTTACACGAATGCTAGTAATCTTTGGCTTCCATTTTTAGTTTGCATAATCCTGCATTAAGCAGACTTTTCTTTTTATATATCTCAAGCTACTTATTTTCCGCTTGAGTGTGACTGCTTTGATTTAAGCTAGAAAAAATTTATTTAATATTGCATTCGGTTATTTACTTAATGATGCATTTTTGTTATTTACTCTTAGAAATAATATTGTTAACTTCAGAAATGTTGACTAGTAAGGTTTACCCAACTTTTAAAAATAAGCCCTATGCTAATGATTCAGAAATGTTTTCAGAGATCCCTAGGTTTTCCTACCATAAAAATACTCTTACATATTACTTCTCAGAAAAATCAATATATGTGTTATACACATACATATGAAAAGTTAACTTTTCTACATACTGTATACATTTTTTATTGGCCTAAAACAATCACCGCATTTATTTTGTTCATAAATCTATAATTTAGGCAGGGTTTAGTAGGCCAGATTTTCTGTTTTGTCCTACTCAGCATTAGCTAGGATGGCTCAAAGGCTAACTTATCTGTTTGTTAGTTGATGCTAGCTCTTCGATGGAATCTCCATGACACTATAATCAGAACACCAAAATGTGGTCTTTCTATGTGATTCCCTGACTTGGGATGGTGGCTAGATTCCAAGGTTGGGTGCCAGGATAGAGAGCCAGGCAGAAGCTGTATCTCCTTTTCTAGCCTATCGTCAAAAGTCATATAGCGTTTCCTTCATCACATTCTATTTGTTAAAAGCAAGTCACTGAAGACATCAATATTCAATGGGAGCAAAATTAAGACTCTACTTGTTAATGAGAGGAATGTCAAATAATGTGTGGATATGCTTTAAAAGCACAGAGTTTCAACAAATTTCAAAAAATTGTTTTCAGATCAATTTCTCTGACAACAATGCAATTCAGTTACAAATCACTATAAAAATGATGCTATTTTCCTACATTTTCTTCTGGAAGCTTTATATTTTTGCCTTTCACACTTAAATACACAATCATCTAGAACTGATTTTTATGTATGGTGTGAGTCTAGGGTCAAAATTTCTTTTACATATTACGTATATTCTATTTTTTTAAATTATACTTTAAGTTTGGGATACATGTGCAGAACGTACAGGTTTGTTACATAGGTATACATGTGCCATGGTGGTTTGCTGCACCCATCAACCCGTCATCTACACTAGGTATTTTTCTTAATGCTATCCCTCTCCTAGCACACCACCCACCAACAGGCCCCAGTGTGCAATATTCCTTTCCATGTGTCCATATATTCTCATTGTTCAACTCCCACTTATGAGTGAAAACATGCAGTGTTAGGTTTTCTGTTCCTGGGTTAGTTTGTTGAGAATGATGGTTTCCAACTTTGTTCATGTCCCTGTAAATGACATGAAATCATACTTTTTTATGGCTGCATAGTGTTTCACGGTGTATATGTGCCACAGTTTCTTTATCCTGTCTATCATTGATGGCCATTTGGATTGGTTCCATGTCTTTGCTATTGTGAATAGTGCTGCAATAAACATATGTATACGTGTATCTTTATAGTAGAATGAGATATAATCCTTTGGGTATATATCCAGTAATGGGATTGCTGGCTCAAATGGTATTTATGGTTCTGTTCCTTGAGGAATAGCAAAGGTTGAACTAATTTACACTCCCACCAACGTGTAAATGTGTTCCTAATTCTCCATATCCTCTCTAGCATCTGTTGTTTCCTGACTTTTTAATGATCACCATTCTACTGGTGTTAGATGATATTGCATTGTGGTTTTGATTTGCATTTCTTTAATCACTAATGATGATGAATTTTTTCCATGATTGTTGGCTGCATAAATGTCTTCTTTTGAGAAGTGTCTGTTTATATCCTTCACCCATTTTTTGATGGAATTATTTGATTTTTTCTTGTAAATTTGTTTCAGTTCTTTGTAGAATCTGGATATTAGCCCTTTGTTGGATGGATAGATAAATTTCCCCATGTTGTAGGTTGCCTGTTCACGCTGATGATAGTTTGTTTTGCTGTGCTGAAGGTCTTTAGTTTAATGAGATCTCATTTGTCACTTTTGCCTTTTGTTGCCATTGCTTTTGATGTTTTAGTCATGAAGTTTTTGCCCATGCCCATGTCCTGAATGGTATTGCCTAGGTTTTCTTCTAGTGTTTTTATAGTTCTAGGTCTTACATTTAAGTCTTTAATCCATATTGAGTTAATATTTGTATAAGGTGTAAGGAGGGTGTCCAGTTTCAGTTTTCTGCGTATAGCTAGCCAGTTTTCCCAACATCATTTATTAAATAGGGAATCCTTTCCTCATTGCTTGTTTTTGTCAGGTTTGTCAAAGATCAGATGGTTGTAGATGTGTGGTATTATTTCTGAGAACTTGGTCTGTTCCACTGCTCTGTATCCTATTTTGGTACCAGTGTCATGCTGTTTTGGTTACTGTAGCCTTGTTGTATAGTTTGAAGCCAGGTAGCATGATACCTTCAGCTTTGTTTTTTTGTTGCTGTTGTTGCTGTTTTTTGTTTAGTATTGTCTTGTCTATATACAAGCTCTTTTTTGGTTCTGTATGAAATTTAAAGTAGTTTTTTCTAATTCTGTGAAGAAAGTCTATGGTAGTTTGATGGGATAACATTGAATCTATAAATTACTTTGGGCAGTATGGCCATTTTCATGATGTTGATGCTTACAATCCATGAGCATGACATGTTTTTCCACTTGTTTGTGTCTTCTCTTATTTCGTTGAGCAGTGGTTTGTAGTTCTCCTTGAAGAGGTTCTTCACATCCCATGTAAGTTGAATTCCTAGGTATTTTATTCTTTTTGTAGAGATTGTGAATGGGATTTCATTCATGATTTGGCTCTCTGTTTTTTCTATTATTGGTGTATAGGAATGCTTGTGATTTTTGTACATCAATTTTGTATCCTGAGACATTGCTGAAGTTGCTTATCAGCTTAAGGAGATTTTGGTCTGAGATGATGAGGTTTTCTAAATGTACAATCATGTCATCTGCAAGCAGAGACAATTCTACTTCCTCTTCCTATTTGAATACTCTTTATGTCTTTCTCTTGCCCAGTTGCCCCGGCCAGAACTTCCAATACTGTGTTGAATAGGAGTGCAGAGAGAATATCCTTTTTTTGTACCAGTTTGCAAATGGAGTGCTTCCAGCTTTTGCCCATTCAGTATGATATTGTCTGTGGGTTAAATAAAACCTGATCTTGCTCTTAAATAAATTGAAATTAAGACTGATGATTCAGTAAGGTTAACAATGAAATTAAACTTTTAAAAAGTGACTGCAACAAATAAACCTTCTACTGAGAAAATACATCACAGATAGAAGATATCTGCCAAGTCCAGGCATTTTTATGGTGTAGATTGAAATAACAGTACACTGTTCTGAATTTTTATATAAAATGTGATTGGGAAGGTGTACTAATATATAATTTATCTTAATTTTTCTAACTTTGTATGGATAATCTTTCTATGCATATCACATAAAGAAATGCGTTGAAGCAAAAAAAAAAAAAGAGTGAGAAACAAAATCAAATTACTACAAGGGAATGTCTTCTGGGATGGTAAGAACTGAAAAACCTCCATAATGTTTTGAAATCAGTAACATTTGTTACTCCCCCAAAATAATAACATAAATTTAATGGCCATAGCATACAAATTTTAAGTATTCCTAAAAGATAAAATAACACAATCGCAGAGTTAACATGCATGTATGTGTCTATATTTACCAATGTGTGTATACCTGTATTTAAACTTGTTTGTTTATATTTAATACATGTAATAAGATCAAATCCTAGGCTGTGATGTTTGCAGAAAATACCATATTACACCTATGCAACTGAAATAAATATATATTTATAAAACAAGCATATACATAAACACAAATTATATATATTTATATACAAATTATATATGTACATATATATATATATATATATATATATATATTTATATATATATGTAAGCAAGCACTTATATGGGACTTTATTTGTGAT